TTTAACTTACTTTGTCTAATTTATACTAAAAAACAGTTATTTTGTCTTTGTCAATTTCACCTCGATACGATGTTTTTACGAACTTTGTCGGCTTAGCGTCGATAGCCAATTTTCCATGTTTTCGTGCGGGATCCTTTTGTAATTGTGAAAACAGCTGGCATGCCACAGAAATGGCAAATAATTTAATAAAATGTGTAAAATGTTCCCCATCCGTAATGGGTCAAGTGATACTGGAAGAGATTGTTGTTCTATAAAGTACCTGTATCTCATGAACATTTCATTACATAGGAAAAGGAAAAATATAATTCATGCAATGTGTCTGAAAAAAATTTTAAAATTGTTCTATCCGTCATTCGGTTGCCCCCTTACGAGCAACCCTCAGAAGTCTTCGAGAGTCTTGTGCGAACAAGGAATGACGGGGGGCCTTACCTTTTAACGTGTGATCCCAAACACTTTCTTGGGCCATCAGAAAAATTTCTGCAGTCGATGGGAATCGAACCCACGAACGGCAAGCGAATGCGAATTAGAATATTGACAATCTGTCCGCACAGCTACCTGTCTAAGATGAAGATATCATTAAACGTCAAAGGTCAAAATTCAACGCGGCACCCATTCAAAAAGTGGTTATGCTCTTTTATCCTCGTTTATACTCGGGGAACGTTCTCACTTCACTAGATTGAATACCATTATCCAATAATTAATTATATTGTGAATTTTTATCATTATTGTTCAAAAAAACACTATTGAAAGTAACTAATTTATTTTTACTGACTCACTGTTATAATGTTTTTTTGCAACCCAACTTTTTTAAATGCCTGCAATTACAAAGTAAAAAGAAATCTTTCACGTTCAAATTTTCAATAAAATGATTAATTTCAAGACCAGGAATAATCAAATTAGTGAACTATAGTTTTAATAGTGATACGATATTAATTTTTGCTCATAATTTCATAGGAGTCTATTGAGTTACTACTTTACTAATTATTTCAAGATTGAATTAACCCTATTTTATGCTTACTAACTTCTTCATCCAGCACTGTCTATCTTCATCGTCTAGTATCGCTTCATCTCTTATCGAAGAATTTAACAAAAAACCAAAGAACAAAAAAAGAAAGAAGAAGGTATTTGATTTACTTATCAATATTATGAACACACTAGTGCATGCTATGTATGTTGAAAGGATTTAATTTAGTAGCTTTATAGGTTTGCATTCCTTTGTTTGCATGTAACCAATACGAATTTTTATTTTGATTTATTTGTGTTAGTGACGCATTCTCAGTATATTTTGTGCTATAAATACAGTAAACAAAAACTGCACCCCATTACGTTTATTTGGGGGGAGGGGGGTAGTTTAGCTTTTCACTTTTGTTAATTTATTGGAAGTATTTGTTTAGAGCATGTAACAGTATTAAAATTAAAGATGAAATAACATTAATAACAATCAATACCACTACACTGTTTTATCACTAACCAAACCGATTTTTTAACATCTCCACATGTATTGAAAGTTAAACAATCGGTGTGGTTAATAGTTGAACAGTGGAGTGTGATTATCGTGCCATAGGTTCCAGTTTTTGATATGTATATCAAAATTATTATTTTACTGAGTACTGATTTCTGTACTTAAAATAGGGCTCAACAAACAGATATAATTCAATGTTCGACGTGGCAAACAGCCAGGAAGTAATAATTGTTTTCTGTTGAATATTCAGAATGATATTATGTGCATATACATATTTTTATCTGAAAGAGAATACAAATTCTCAGCTTAAGAAGATTTTGTATTCAAATTCTTAGCATGTATGTTAAATCGTTACCACAGATACAACAAGGCCTGCATGCTCCGTGGGTGACGTCACTTAGTCAGGCCTAACCAGCGGCTTGAAACGACAAGCGCTTTAGCGCTATAAGGCGACCGCGTATTTCGATTTTAGTTTTAGATCATCATTGAGCCGATTTTGCTGTTTTTTGAAGGGCTTCCGGTTAAAAAAGGATGTCAGTCGTCAACTGAGCCCTTCTTCGCACCCCATTCGATTTTATTATGGAAAAACGAAGTTTTAAAGCAAAAACCAGGATAAAACAAAAATATCCACCTACAGCAACCCATTCGAATTAAATATATTGGCAAAAATTGTGGTGAAGGTAAACTTCACACCTCCTTACAGGGCCCGCAGAACATAAACTTATCGTGAGATTGATCGAAAGAAAATTGTGGAAAATGTATTTTATTTTGATTGACATGCCGTTTGTTACAATTACCTATATTTATCTTGGAGAATTCCTATTACCTGAAAAAATAACCAGTGAGTGTTTTCAATTTTCTGTTGTTGGATTTTTCACCCAAGTGGATCGTTACACTTGAAACCGTAATTTCTAAGGGTAAAACTGCATTTATCATGCGATGTTTTTTTTTTTTGAAAATTTTTTTCGGTACTCACGTATTTTTGATAAACCGAATTTTATAATGAAAATGTGAACAAACCACTATTTATTGAGATATTTCAAGAAAAAGTTCGAAATTTCGCCTTCCTTCTCCCCTTGTGTTGGGGGCATTTGAAGCTACTTGCTCTTATTTTGTCATTGGACACTTTATATACTCATGATGTACTTCGATGGCACATTTTTATATAGAAAATTCAACACGAAATATGATTTTTATGGCGAGTTTTTCATATTTAGTGAACAAGCATTCCAGATGACGACCATTTAATCAATAGTCAATCAAAATACGAGATGTCAAATGTCAATAGATTGCTTTCGAATGACATTACACACGCCATTATTTTGAATGATATTCTTCCTTCTCTTCACTAAATATGGATTAATCTCAAGAAAATCATATTTATAGTTGAATTATATATAAATTGTCCAATATGATGGAAAAAGAAGGGAAATTTGTTCTAAATGCCATCCAGAAGACAGGTGAAAAAGAAGGTGAAATTTGGAACTTTTCAGTCAAATATCTTCATGATAAATATCATGATAAATGCAGTTTTACCATTTTTGAGTAGAGTGTTTGTAGTTCATGTTAATATGATAGTTGCAATTTGATCATTGGAATGAATTCTGCATTCATTGCCACGAGGCAAATGACCGTTTTCAGAAAGAAATTTGAGAATGAGAATTAAAAATGCCCGTTTATTATGAACATTCAAGAAAATTTCCTCGAATTCAGAGATGTTTTGTTGACTTTAATATACGAATACAAAACTAACTGCACAATCAAAGCTTTTCTATTTTTCCTCTACTTATACTTTTTATGAGAGAGTTATTGTCTTCTATTATTAATTCATCATTATAAATTAAGCTCTGTTTACCTACTGTTTACTACTGAACTTAGATGGAGTAAAATCCTCGCGGTGAATTGCATATACTTACCCACATTTTCGATAGCTCCTCGTCCAACGGGAAACTAAAAGCATGAACTTTTGAACCATCCACATAATTCCCCCGACAAAAGGGAACACAACACTTGAAAGGCATTGTTATTTCGCCGATCACAACACAAAATATTTCACAAAACAAGCGATAAAATAAAACACTGGCCTCACTTGGCGACGTCATGAGCTGTTTACGTCAGAGTCTGCTGGCCTTGTTGTATCGGTAGTTACGGTTAAATAGATATACATCAATGTCCATCGTGGCATATAGCCAAACCGAGAAAGAATTTCAATACTTTCACCCAATCAAGAGGTTCAAACTTGAATGATGGAAACTTGTTATTTTTATAGACCTTTAATCGCAGATTCGTGATTAGATACATCCAATCAATCATTATTTCTGTTAATGAATTGAGCTTTTGGATACTCCTGTATGTAGAATTGATTTTCTTACTAACCGAATTTTTTAAGGTCCCAACAATCAGAAATGCCAGCATTTGTTCAAATATGGGGTGTCAGTTTTTATATTGTGATGGCAATAACTGTGGAGGAAATTTATAAAGTGCTGAAAAATCCTTTTTGTAAGGTATTTATTACCTTGAATAAAAAATTTAAAAATATCCATTGTTCATAATTCCAATGTTGATTGTCTTTTACTTTTATTATATCCTTCCTTTCTGTTACAGGGCAGTGGTGAGTTGCACTAATCACTAGTGTTAAGCCTAAATTCTGATTCAACGATTGAGGCAACAATTAATTATATATACTTAATTTTTGATTATTATTACAACTATCATGAAAAAAAAAATACATTAATCATTCCCTGGTTAGGTTATTTGTGCAATAATTTTTGTTCAGTAGTTTGTTATTTACACAGCATTTTGTATTGTATTATTAGTGGATAGCATTTCTGATGAAATGGTTTTCTATATGCCTTTTTAACTATGAGATTGAAATTAGGATAAGCAGACTTGTAAAGTAAAAAAGCGAGATATATTAATGACAATTTAACTATAGATTTTGTCACTTGCTTTATTCAATTAGTGAAGAATACAAGCTTATGAGGAATGTATCCGATTTTAGTTACATTTATAGTATATTCTTGTACGAAAATTTTTCTGTCAGACTAAGACCTAATTAAATATTAATATTTATTAGTTTTGTATATTTCCTGGTTCAATAAAAAATATTTCAAATTGAATCCCTTGTTTTGACAAACAAAAACAAACATATGAAACGAATTCGTATATTTCTATTACAAATAATTATTGTGATTTTCACAACATATAAAAATATTTTCCAGGGATGTAAAATATGATCAGATTAAAGAAAACATGGAAGCATTTCAATTATTATTTGTGAACTTAATGGTAAAAGTTGTTTCACATTCAATGTTTATTTATTTTCACTTCACATGACAAAACTTTTCTAGTTATCAAATGTTGAACCTTAATTAATATGTTAGATCATTTATGAATAATACAATGATCTCAGTGTTTCATCACAAGTTTCACCAAAAAAAAGATTCTCAAATGCAGGTCCAACTTTGTGATGACTTTTCCAATTTGAAAAATGCATTTGCCCAAATGTCCTACTTATATCATGGAATTGAAAAAATTATCACATTGGTGTATAGTCCAGCTGTACATATAGCTGTCTCACACCAACTGATGCAAAGATCATCTGAGTATGTGATACCACATACTTAGGATCAACAGTCTTTGACACTTCTAATTTGATAGCACCTACATAAACCTCACTACAAAGTGTCCAAAAGTGAGGCTCTTGAACAGAGTAAACCCCTGCTAAACTCACAACTTTTTGATAGCATTGTGGCAGCACATTATCAAGAGAAACAGGTTGCCTCTGCATCAAAACCATGATTGAATCTTTTATGAGAGCCAGCACACTCAGTGCTATAAGTATAGAAATAAACATGGAGCAAATTGGATCTGCTATCATCCACCCAAACATCTGCATGAGAATGGCAGAAATGATGACACCCACACTGCCCAATGTATCTGCTAGAATGTGAAGGAATACACCTTTCATTATTTGAGAGTTGCCACTGTCTAATTCCATGTCATGAGCATGATGATTGTTTGCATGAGAGTGCCCATGAGATGATCCTCCATGTGAATGGCCATGAGATCCACCCCCATGAGAATGGCCATGTTGAAATGCATAGATTCCCACAAAATTAACAAGGAGGCCCAAAACAGAGACCACAAAAAGTCTTTCATGTTTAACCTGAAACAGCCACATATTAAAATATCAAAGTTAGATTTTTCCTTTGTATAGTCTTACCTCTGGTGGTTCTATTGCTCTCTCAACTGCCTCTGACATTAAAAAGAATGATATGAACAGTAAGAACAACCCATTTACAAATCCGGCCAAAATTTCTGCTCTAACATACCCATAGGAATATTTATCATTTGCTTTCCATTTGGTTATCACAGATGCTGCTAGGCCAGCCATGAGTCCTGTACAGTCAAAGAACATATGGAAGGAATCCGAAATTAAACCTGAAATGAGGTGTTTTGTGGTGAAGTCTTGCATGACTTGACTTGAAAATTAAGTAGAATTTAGAAATTATTTCAACTGACCTAAACTATTGCTCCATACTCCATAAAATAACTCAACAAAAGCAAAGGATAGATTCAGAATCAGGAAAAGAAAAAGATTCCTGGAATTCCTATCTGAAAATATGAGTCTAATCCATCCCTGTAATTTTTCCTTAATTCTGGAGCCAAAGCCTCTATGGTAGGATTGGAAGGAGTCTTTATGTGACATAGGCAACATCTTGCCAATGTTCACTGAACTGCTTCAATAACAATAATATGGAATACTTTTTACACCATTATGGATAGATACCTCTTGAAAAACCAATTGATTACGTGTCCGAAAACAAGCATTTCTAGATTATTTTAATAAAACTGTGACACAATTACAACGGTGAACAATTCTATAACGTTTGTTGTGGAAAACAATCAACTTCACTTCTTGTGCTTTGAGTTTTGAGCCAATACTTAGTAAATATTTACAGCTCCAACCGGCTGTTAAAAATCTTAAGTAGCTGCTCTGCCATCATGCAATTTTGGCAGTTCAGGTTTTGATTTTAATGTTTTTAAGGTTTTTATTGTCATATATGACAGTTGACAGATTGTGTCACAATGTCGTTAGAGAGTGTATTATGGTTGTTCATGGATGGAAACTAAGATGCCTCAATGAACTCAATACAACTGGAAGGGAGACGGCCGTTCTCTCGAATAGCACAAAAGGGATATTTCATTCACATTACCCGTCATGGTTAAAGCTGATGATCCCATTTCATTGTGTTCAACCGTGACGTCATTTCCGTTTGGGTACACCTCCCCTACCTGCCCTTGGGTTTACCAACTCCATAGTTGGTAAACCCAAAGGTAAAGGTGGTTAAAGTTGAACTTGAATATTTTTTTACATTCATAAATGTGAAAAATGGAGGATATGATGGGAACATTCAAATTAAAAATGAATGGAGTGGATGATGGAGTAAGAGATACACGGGTAAACTTTTGTAGTGGGTAAAGTGAAAGAAATAGGAATTCAAAAATAGTTAATGTTGACGTCATTATGACGTAGTTGACTCCCACCACCTTCTCCGAAATACTCTAACCGGGTTTAACGGGGAATGTGAAAGAAATATCCCTAAAGTGTGTTAGGGACAGCTGCAACAAAGATAGCATGATTTACGGTAACCTGTCTCTTTCCTACTCGTGTTGTTTAATGGTGGATTGGTGTTGCTTTTATCAAATAATTAAAGTACTTTAGATTTTTTTCACACATATAAACAGGCAAAAAAATGAAGACATAAGTTTGAGCATAAGTTCATTGTCTTTGTTTATGTGAAATAATCTTAGAAATATCTATTCATTTGGCGTGTTTTGTTTTATAAGAAGGACTGGAATTTGTTGGTGTAAAGAACTGATTGTTGAGAAAGTTTTGATAAACAATGGTGATTTAGGTATTGTGTCACCATCTCTTTTGGATGCAAGAACGAGCAAGACAAAAGGAAATTGTCATTCCATGGGTAAGTTGAATATTGTTCAGATTTTTGGAAAATATAGTTCTTGAAATGGTCATCAGTTAGGTATACAATGTTCCCAGTCTCAGAATATGTTCAAAAACTATACCTATATTATTTGTTCAAAGTTAAATACTCCCATGACTTTTCCATAAACATATCAAGTAATATTATATGTTGCAGTTTTCCATTCAGACATTCTTGAATTATGGATTAAGGCAGTTCATAGAGAGAGTTAGACTCCATCTAAAACCAGCAAGCTTTGTGGAGAGCATTTCCTGCCAACTGAGTATTTATTTATACATCCTTATTTATACATACAAGGTACTGCTAGGTGCTAGGTTATTGAATTGAAACCAGATGCTGTACCCAGTATATTTTCATTTCCTAAGCATTTGTTACCAAAAAATACTGATTCTTGAAGGAAAATAAGAAAACTCATAGGTACCTAGTTGATTAATAATGAAAAAAAGAGTATGTTTGCACCTCTTTGAAATGAAAAACTAGCTAGTAATTTATTTTCAGGATGCATCTGTGGAAGTTCATAACATTATTGGGTCCTAAGGAAGATGTTTCTCATATTATGCAATTTACCTATGACTTCCAGCTCCCAAGTTTCGAAGTTCATCAATAATGAAACAATAATTGCGATTTTTCATTGGGCTTGAATGGTCAATTCATAACAGGTATATTCTTCAATCTAAAACATATAGTTGGTATTAAATCTCAAATCATAAATGAATTGAGGGTTGAAATTCTAGCAGTTACATGGAATAAGAAACTGAAATGCATACGAAAACTTTTTTCAAATGCCGGTGCTGAAATGCGACATATTCTTCTTGAATGAACGAAACAGATAGCCAAAAGTTTTCTCCTTAATGAAAAACACTATATATACCTAACCCACCAGACGCCTACCTCGGTTGTAATGAAGGTTTACCGACGCCAAGGGTTGATACTCTCCCCTCGTGAGGGTACCTGTCGTGTCTCCATGGAGACATAAAGGTGACTACTGAAACATTTTCTATGATATATCGCTTCCATAACGAATAATTGATTTTGAAAAAATATTCTTTATGAGTTGAATACAACACAGGAATGGGAAACCCATCGCCGGTTGCTGATTTTATGTCTGGATTCCTCTTCTGTGCGATTTTTCCGTTGGGCTTGAATGGTCAATTCATATAACACCATAATTCTTCAACCTAAAACATAGTTGGCATTTACTCTCGATTTAAAAATAAATTGGGGGTCGAAATTTTGAAGTAACATGGAATAAGAAACTGAAATGTATACGAAAACGTTTTTCAAATTCCGGTGCTGAAATGCGACATATTCTTTTTGAATGAACGAAACAGATAGCCAACAGTTTTCTCCTCAATGAAAAACACTGTATATACCTAACCCACCAGGCGCCTACCTCGGTTGCAATGAGGGTTTACCAACGCCAAGGGTTGATACTCTCCCCTCGTAAGGGTACCTGTCGTGTCTCCATGGAGACATAAAGGTGACTACTGAAACATTTTCTATGATATATCGCCTTCCATAACAAATAATTAATTTTGAAAAAATATTCTATATGAATTGAATACGACACAGGAATGGGAAACTCATCACCGGTTGCTGATCTTATGCCTGGGTTCCTCTTCCTGCGATTTTTCCGTTGGGCTTAAATGGTCAATTCATAACACGTTGATTCTTCAATCTAAAACATAGTTGGTATTTGATCTCGAATTATAAATAAATTGGTGGTTGAAATTGTAGAAGTTACATGGAATAAGAAACTGAAATGTATTCTAAAACTGTTCAAATTCCGGTGCTGAAATGCGACATATACTTCTTAAATGAACGAAACAGATAGCCAACAATTTTCTCCTTAATGAAAAACACTGTGAAACTTATCACCGGTTGCTGATTTTATGCCTGGATTCCTTTTCTGTGCGATTTTTCATTGGGCTTGAATGGTCAATTCATATCACGTTGATTCTCGAATCTGAAACATAGTTGGTATTAAATCTCGAATTATGAATGAATTGAGGGTTGAAATTGAAGAAGTTACATGGAATAAAAAACTAAAATGTATATGAAAACTGTTTTCAAATTCCTGTGCTGAAATGCGACATAGTCTTCTTAAATGAACGAAACAGAGAGCCAACAGTTTTCTCCTGAAGGAGAAACACTGTGAAACTTATCACCAATTGCTGATTTTATGTCTGGGTACCTTTTCTGTGCGATTTTTCCGTTGGGCTTAAATGGTCAATTCATAACACGTTGATTCTTCAATCTAAAACATGGTTGGTATTAAATCTCGAATCATGAATATATTGGGGGTTGAAATTGTAGAAGTTACATGGAATAAGAAACTGAAATGTATATGGAAACTGTTTCAAAATGCCGGTGCTGAAATGCGACATATTCTTCAGAAACACTGTCAAACTTTATCACCGGTTGCTGATTTTATGTCTGGGTACCTTTTCTGGGTACCTTTTCTGTGTGATTTTTCTGTTGGGCCTAAATGGTCAATTCATAACACGTTGATTCTTCAATCCTAAACATAGTTGGTATTAAATCCCGAATCATAAATATATTGGGGATTGAAATTGTAGAAGTTACATGGAATAAGAAACTGAAATGTATATGAAAACTGTTTTAAAATTCTGGTGCTGAAATGCGACATATTCTTCCTAAATGAACGAAACAAATAGCCAACAGTTTTCTCCTGAAGGAGAAACACTGTGAAACTTATCACCGGTTGCTGATTTTATGTCTGGGTACCTTTTATGTGCGATTTTTCCGTTGGGCTTAAATGGTCAATTCATAACACGTTGATTCTTCAATCTAAAACATAGTTGGTATTGAATTTCGAATCATGAATATATTGTGGGTTGAAATTGTAGAAATTACATGGAATAAGAAACTGAAATTTATATGAAAACTGTTTTAAAATTCCGGTGCTGAAATGCGACATATTCTTCTTAAATGAACGAAACAGATAGCCAACAGTTTTCTCCTTAATGAAAAACACTGTGAAACTTATCACCGGTTGCTGATTCTATTTCTGGGTTTTTTCTGTGCAATTTTTCCGTTGGGCTTAAATGGTCAATTCAAAACAGGTTGATTCTTCAATCTAAAACATGGTTGGCATTAAATCTCTAATCATGAATGAATTGAGGGTTGAAATGCTAGAAGTTACATGGAATAAGAAACTGAAATGTATACGAAAACTTTGTTCAAATTCCGGTGCTGAAATGCGACATATTCTTCTTGAATGAACGAAACAGATAGCCAACAGTTTTCTCCTTAATGAAAAACACTATATATACCTAACCCACCAGACGCCTACCTCGGTTGCAATGAGGGTTTACCGACGCCAAGGGTTGATACTCTCCCCTCGTAAGGGTACCTGTCGTGTCTCCATGGAGACATAAAGGTGACTACTGAAACATTTTCTATGATATATCGCCTTCCATAACAAATAATTAATTTTGAAAACATATTCTATTTGAATTGAATACGACACAGGAATGGGAAACTTATCACCGGTTGCTGATTTTGTGTCTGGATTTCTCTTGTGTGCGCTTTTTCCGTTGGGCTTAAATGGTCAATTCATAACACGTTGATTCTTCAACCTAAAACATAGTTGGCATTAGATCTCGATTTGAAAATAAATTGGGGGTTAAAATTTTGAAGTTACATGGAATAAGAAATTGAAATGTATACGAAAACTGTTTTCAAATTC